TTTTCGTGACCGAGTTGTAAAATTAGTTCACTTACACCCCTTCAACGCGGAATTTTTAAAACACATTTCATTGCAATATGTTCATACTAAAGCGCTATTTATAAACACAAAAAGAAACTTCCCTAAAAATATACACACGTACACAATATTTACGACTCGGTATAATCGTCCACGTCTTCTTCTATTGGTCGTAGGGCAATTAACGTCCTCGAGACAAGAGCAGTAAACTGCGATCCAACAGGGCACTATTAAGATGTCAGATTTCTATCTCGTGTTTGTGCAAGAGATTGGGTCAAATTTCTTTTTCCCTTTTCGTTCTAACAAACCGAGTGAGTCTATAATTATTTTTAAAGGAAAGCTGTGATTTGGTCGTATAAATAACAAAAAACGGCGAATTCGAGGAGGGCTGGTTTTAAAATAGAAGTAAGATGTTACTTATTCTTATACAACAGATAAAAATGAAAAATTACACGTACACACAATCACATAAAACTAGTTTCGAGTTCCATCTTTTTCAATTAAGAAAAGCGAACTATACCTTTTATTCAATATTTCACTAATTGGTTTTTAGCGTCATCAGAAGTAGTTAGGTACATTAAAAAGTACGAACGTGCAAGTCGATAAAGGTAATTCTGTTATCATTTTCTATTTCACAATTAAATTGTATTTTAGGAATTTTATAAAAATCCAAATTGAATTCAGTTTAATAATAATAATTAAAATTTAACGTATAAATGGAAAACTTTCAGAGGTTAACTATATACCATAGCTTCTGGGTCAAGCCAAAGTTATCAGCAAACGTTAGCTTGATCCAAACGCGGTCGTTATTTTCGAGTAAGGGCTCCATATGTTCTGTTTTAGTTATAAATCCGTAATCCTCGTCATTATGTCCTTTGACGTTTTGTATCTAAACTACATGGTTACTGTGGAGTTAGTGGCTTTTTGTAAATATTTCAAGTATCACTGATGATGGGTCCGATAGGACAACAAAATAAAACAGTTTACTCATGAAATAGAAAATAACAATAGCACTATTCTTGAATTCTTGACTTATGCTTGTTATACAACAACGCTTTATAACCACAAACTCGTTTTTCAAAAAAGTTTTACCTGGAAGAATGTCCATCTGGAAGTTGTAACATCAATGTTCATATGTTACACAAAAGAAGAGGTGTATTTCATTTAATAGACAGAGCAATTAAATAATCTAGCCCATAATATCATTCCTAAAATGGAATACCCACCAGAATGTGTGATTAAAAATCCTTTTACCTATAATCTTTAATACTAAAAAATCAATAACTTCCATAATACTACCAAGACATGTAAGAACTATACACATTCAATAAAGATTTTTTTAAATATAAACTTATTTATCAATGAAGACAGTTAATCAGATATGATTTATGATAAATCGTAAAGACTATAATTCAACTTATATTCTACAGACGTATCAGTATCGGCTTACATGAATGATTGCACATAAAAAGAATAACAACAATAGACCAACTCTTATTACAGTGTTAGCCAAACATTCTTGGGAAAATAAGGCATTATTTTGATTTTGTAAACTTACAAATTTTAGAAAGAGAGTCAAACTATAATAAAATGTGTATATTTGCATTAATTCATATTAATAAACGACATACCCGTATTAATAACAAGACTGCTATCAAAAATTTCTCCAGTATGTATTATAATTTAAATTATTAGTTGTTAAACACATTATGACACTGACCTACTGAACATCTGGAAGTGCATAGAATTCATACATATTCATTTTTAAGGATTGGCATCTATATCTGTCCATAACTAATAATGACAGTGTTTTGAAATAAAAATTAGCCAAAACAGTTGAACACAGTTACAAAGAGAATTCAGAAAAAGTTGTATTGAAAATTGACGGTCAGGAAAAACAAATATAATATACATAATGTGTCCAAATTAATTTCAATTCTGGTTTATAATATTAGCATATTGGTCAGTAGGAAATAAAGCTCTATGTGTTTTAGATCTCAATATTTCGTCACAATTTTGTGATTTGTTCAGGAAATCTACAGTTTATCATTTTGTTTATAGCAGTAACTCCATATTTAAACGAACATTCCAAATACTTTGTTTTGATCCTACTAACCTTTTTTCTTAAGCTTTTCTTTACTATTCCAGTTTTTTTTCTAAATCCTTTACTAACACTACATTATTGGCATGCATTAATCATCGGATAATGTTACAATGTAGTTTCTCTGTTATTTGATCCACCACTAATAACATAAATGAGGAATTGAAATTTAGTAGTCTCTCTCATACCTGTCGTGATACTAGCTGTTACTTTCTTACACCTGTCTCTCACAATCTTTATATACTTACCAGTTTCTTATCAAGATACCACGGATTCTGTTGAGTATCTTTATCATATACTTTCTCAAGATCAATCAATACCATACGATCGCTTGATTATTGATCCTTCTGATCAGCTAATAGGCTGTCTTAAGATGAAAACGACATCTATTATCTGCCTTGCGTAAATCCAAACTGATTTTTGGATATTTCGGTTTCTTTGCGTATCAATTACTATCTCCCATATTTTCTTAGTATGACTAAGTTTTGTTATGTCCAAGGTTTTTTTAATTGTTTCTTATCTTCTTTGATTATGTAAACATACACTTATCTACTGCTTCTCATCTGCCATCTTCGGCAGATGGAAGAACTTGGACTCAATAAATTATTATCCACGAAATAAGTACAAACATTTTGAAGATTGTTAGACAAAGCTATATAGAGTCACCAATACTTTTTAATATATATACATTAAAATACTATTTTAAATTGCTTTAGAAAACATTCAGCAAGGAATTAAAGTAAATGAGGTCAACAATCTTCGTTGCGCAGATGGCACAGCTATTTTTGCTGATAAGATAGAAGATCTGCAAGCTCTGGTTACAGTCATCTATCGCACAGAAAAGGAATATGGCTCAAAGATTAACATTAAGACTAAACTTATAATTATGAGCCGATATCAACACGAGCAAGCACACCTTCTCATAGACGACCAACAAATTGAAAATTGAAAGAGCTGAAAATTTTAAATATTTGGATCCAATATCTCACGCAAAAGGATTGTGACGAGGAAATTAAAGTTCAAGAAATATATTCTTTTGTCAGGGTTGCATTTAAATCTTAGACTTCGTGGGGTTAAATGTTTCGTGTTGTCAATATTATTGTATGGTATAGAGACGTGAGCACTAAAAGTAAAATCAATAAATAGAATTGAAGCACGCGAGATGTGGATTTTGAGAAGATACCATAGTTGGACCGAGTTATCAATAAGGAGGTATTGCTACGAGCTTGAATGCGGTGAGAACTGTTGAATGTCGTGAAACAATCGAAGCTTTCTTCTTTGGAACACTTCTTTCGTGGATAACCCAAAACTTATACTCACTCAACGTGAATAATTCACAACGTGAATTTTCCGACTAGCTGAAGAGAGAAACCCTAGCGTAGTTGATTAGGACAATAAATGAATCAACTTTGAAAATAAGGCTATTATCGAGCACAAGTTAATTAAATCAAGCCCAAGTACTTTCGCTTAAAAAAGCATCTTCAGGGGCATCTGAAATAAGCCAAGAAAACGTTTTTTAGATGAAGTAAATTAGTTAACTTCGATAAAAAACTCGAAGTTAATGGATGAAAAAAAGGTTTTGAGATTAACGTTTTAGACTTACTTCGTCAAAATAAGAACTATCCGGCAAGCGTAGGATGTGGAAACATTAAAACTAACATAAATTATACAAAGTTTAGTTTTAATGTTTCCACATCCTACGCTTGCCGGATAGTTCTTATTTTGACGAAGTAAGTCTAAGTTAACTAATTTACTTCATCTAAAAAACGTTTTCTTGGCTTATTTCAGATGCCCCTGAAGATGCTTTTTTAAGCGAAAGTACTTGGGCTTGATTTAATTAACTTGTGCTCGATAATAGCCTTATTTTCAAAGTTCATTTATTCGAGCATTCAACCTCATTTCATTTAATAAATGAATCGCCTACGCGCTGCCAAGTGTATGACACAAGAAGAAGAAGGAGAAAGTCATTTCGTTATTATGGCACTTTTCAGATATTTGATTACCCAATGCCTTTTCATATTTCAAATCAGGATCATATACTGTACGATTTGGCTAACAAAACCAATGCAACCAAAGTTCAGCAATGTAATTGAACCAATGCAACCAAAATGCAGCAATGTAATTGAATTATTGAACTTTACTAATGACTCTTTTGATTGTCTTGCCAAATTAAAATAATTTTAAATGCTTTTGTTTCTAATTGGTAACGAAATTTTGTTTACACTTCTACAATATCCCATTTACATGGATCCATCGACAACACAAAGTTTGTTTAGGACGACACCATGTTTGAAATAAAAGATAATTACTTCTTGTCATCTACAGTAGATGCGATTTAAATAGTTTCGGTTCTGATCGTGTTGTCTCAGAACTTAGCCTACTAAATCTATGAGATGGTTAACGGCAAGGAAAAATGATTTAATTAAAAAATACACTGAATTGGCATCGTTGTAATAGCTAAAATATATCGATGTTATTATTTCGAATTTTTCTAATATAGTATCTATAAAAGTTTAGTGAAAACTTGGTTTATTTATTAAACTGCGAATATCAATCTTCCTAAGAGTAGTAAAGATTTAACTAAGAAAGTCAATAAAAGATGGATTTTCCGTTAGGATGACAGCACTGAATGAGCACAACTTTTGACAGCATATACGTTATTTCAAAGTTTTAAGATTTTTACTGCGTTATGAACTACTGTGTTTCTAATAGTTTATTGATCGATTAGCTTATTTTTTATAAGAATATAAATAGAATTACTAGTGACTAGTCGGTAGATTTTACCTGCTTCAAAAACAGGACAGAAAAAATAATACTTTTCTATAAAAAAATCCTTCTCGACTTCATAAAACAACTCGGAACGCTTTTTTATAGTCAGTGGATGATCGATTTATTTCTTTTTCAGGTGTATATCGAAGTTTTGAACGAAAACGATAACGTTCCGTTAAGCGAAGAGGCGGTTTACTATCCAAACATTCCCGAAGAAAGTCCTGAGGGCACTACGGTCCTCCAAATAAGAGCTACGGATAGGGATAAGGACCCGAACCAAAAAATAACATACAAGATCAGCACCGGCAACCCTGAGGGTTTTTTTGCAATCAACTCGAGTACAGGTAAGAATTCCGTTAAAAATGTAGAGCTTTCTTTTTGACTTTAGAGATTTTATAGTTATTTATTTGAAATGTTACTGTTACTTTATATGGCGTTCCTGGAATACTGTCATTACACGATTATATAAGATATTTTGTATACACAATTGTTACATATTCTAGTAAATATACTTATTCGTCTTCTTTTTTTATGTCATATGTCATATAGGTCTAATGCAAGTCCTCTATGTAAGCTTGATTTTCGCTCCTATTTCTCTACGTTTCAAAATATGTAATATATATATATATATATATATATATATATATATATATATATATATATATATATTATATAACATCCTAATACAGCTGATTTTTTATAGATTTGTTACAGGATCGTGTCCACTGAAGAGGACAATTCCTAGATATTTGAACTGATATTTGAAGTCTCTTCTATGTCTGTTTGATCATTGGTTTGCATCTTAGTTGCTCTCTAGCTAAGGTGTGATTTATCTTCCCAATTATATATTCATGTTGATACAAAATAATATCCACATAATATATCTTTGCAGAAAAAAATGTTCTTCGTTAAATGTAAAATGGATTATTAAATAGAAATTATTTTTTCAATTTCTGAATGTTTGAACGTTCATCAGCAACTACCAGTTGCTACCTAGAGTCCATATACAGTGCTTTTTAGATAAAACTATCCACATTAAATAACTTCTGAACTTCTAGTTTTTAGGAAAAACGCAAAATATTTAAAGGGGGAGACATTATATCATATTTAAGGTTGCTGGGAAATGCAACCTCTCACCCACCATATCATCCCTTAATTTTTTTTAAATTACTTCCCCATTTTTCATTTGATATTTGGATTTTCCTCTTTGTACTGATTTTAGAAATGTATAACACATAATGTTTAAAGTAATTAGTTTATGAGAAAAATAAGTACAAATGCAAGAAAACTGGATTGGAAAAAAGATTTTTTAACAATTTTATTACAAAAATTTTGAAGGAACATTTCACTATTTGTTCAAAATATAGTAAGATTTCCATTCCATTCCTGCCATTCACTTCCTTACAATAGTACAATCTATTTTGAAATTCTTCTCTGACGTTGCTTAACACGTCTGCATTTAATTATCGACATTCATTCTCTATTCTTTGTCGTAAATCATCTAGAGATTCTGATTGAATAGCATAAATTTTTGTTTTTAAATACCCCTATAAGAAGTCTAGAGGTGTTAAATGTGGTGATTTAGGTGGCCAATCCATTATCTGTCCTCGTTTACCTATCCAACGACCGGAAAACGTTTCGTTTAAAAATTGTCGTACAGGTGAAGAAAAGTGTGGAGGAGCTCCATCATGTTTAAATACAACGAAATCTTCGGAAAGGTTATCATGATTTTCTACTATTGTTCTAATACGATCAAGTAGTTGCCTAAGTAATTCAAGATACGATGCACCATTTAAGTTTCCAGTGATAAAGAAGCGTTTGATAATGTGATCATCTAGGATACCACACCAAACATTTAACCTTTGAGGATACTGTGTGTGAAATTCACTTACAATATGTGCATCACTCTCAGCCCAGTATCGGCAATTATGTCTGTTCGCCAAACCATTTGATGGGAATGAGCATTCATCCGAGAAGCAAATATTGTTTAACAATTATGGATTTTTAATGATGCATTGTGTAATTATTTTGCAAAATTCGAGACGAAGATCAAAATCTTCTTTATTTAACCCTTGTACCAATTTAATTTTATATGGATGAAACTTAAATTTATGGTGGAGTCGGAAGGCTGTAGAAGATGAAACACCGATGGCTCTGGTTATTGTTTACAGTGACTGTGATTACTCAGCCTCTAAGTTAACTTGTCCTAAAACAGCTATTGGGATTGCTTTATTATTTACAAGTCCCTGTCGGTTATATTTTTTATTGCAAACTGAGCCTGTTGCTCTAAATTTCTGCATCAGTTTAATCACATACTTATGAGTTGCATGTCTATTGTGGTGTGTTTCATTAAAATTCTAGCAGCAGCTCTTTCATAATTATTATTTTTGTACTATAAACCTACAATTTCGATTCTTTCTTGCAAATTGTAAACCATTTCAGTGATCAAATTGTACACGTGTCAAAATAGGCTTATACAAGTTATAACAAATTGATATTAGCTATTAACCGATTAAAGTAAGTGTCCAAATAATATCGAAAACCTTTGATAAAACTTTAATAAAAAGTGAAGTTTTTTGTTTCTTGGTTATTGAAGGTACTACAAATAGTACGTTCAAATATTTAAAAAGTTTAAATTATGCTACAACCTTTTTTGTTACAATAATACACCAATAAGGTGAGAGACATACTATTTTGTTGAAAGAAAAATTGTTTATCTCATAAACTAATCACTTCAAGCCAAATGTATTATACATTTATGAAATCAGTATAAAAAGGAGAATTCAAATTTAAAATAAAAAAAGGGGGAAGTAATTAAAAAATATAAATATATAATGTCTCCCCCCTCAAATATTAATTGACGCGTTTTTGCGTTTTTACTAAAAATTAGAAATTCAAAAGTTATTGAAGGTGGATAGTTTTATCTGACAAGTACTGTATAGACTACGCCTTATGTCCAGCAACCCCAATTGGGAGTATTGCGTAAATCTGTTTAAAACATCATATAAATTTATCAGCAACGATGTAATAAATAACAAATTTAATATCATTTAAAGGGTTTTTACCAACATATCTAGTGGCTTTACTCATGTATACCTGAACACTGCACTGATGATGGACTTTTTAGTCCAAAAACGTTCTGTGATGTAGCCCGAAAGGCTTTGATTTTTTAATTAAAATTTTTGTGATTTATGGTATACAGTCGACTAGAGGAAATTCAATTTTCTTGTGAATTTTGTTCATATATTTATAACCGCCGAAGTTTTCAGGAAAACTTTAATTCTAGGAAGGGATGAGAAAAATATATTGTTGAATAGAGTTTTTTATATGTACGCAGTTTGATAGAACTAAATTCCCTTTGACACTGTAATACTTGAAGATCTCAGTCAGATAAGAGGAGAAAAGAAAAACAATCTAAGATATTAGCTATTACATATATTAGCGGAAACATTTCGTTTTGTATTTACAAAACAGCATCAGTCCATATCTACAAGAACAATGTTGCTCTTAAAAGGAAAAACAGTTCTTTTAAAACGAAAATACCAAATTAAAAATGGCATCTCATAATAGAGTGAAAAAGAGATAATTAAGGTAAAAAAAGTGGCTTATATGTGACGTAATACAATTCTGATAGTAAACAAAGCAATCCAGTTTTACAAAAAATTGGTCATAAAAATAAAAAATTCACATAGTGTATATATATTTGAAAGATTTATAGTAAAAATTGCTTAATTCATGTATAAACAAATTTAATCAAATGTATTTGTAATTGTAAAACACGCTAAAACGAAGCACGTGCCAAATTTAAAGTGTTAAATTGAAAACCAATGTAGTAAAACCACGCAAAACTGAAAGTAGTAAAATTGTTCAAACAATATAAAACCATGTTTCATATTTTTACATTTCATATTTTTCTGTTACGGTACTGTAATGTGATCTAATTTAATGCTGTATTATAACGACCTTTTTTTAAATATATTACTTCCTGCTATTTCGTAAAATTGTTACTGGCTATCTTATTTGGCTTTCTCCTTTGTATTCTGTGTCACAAAGATTGAAACAAGTGTAAGGTTTCGTATTACCGTAACAATTAACTATAAATTATCGCCATTCAAAATCGTCCGACAATAGGGTTGATTTATGGCATGCTCTTGCACACGAGCTGTTGACCACCCAACGGTCAGAGGGTGGTTTTTGCCCTAGTAACGATCTTAAACAAATCTACTTTAACACACTTCTTCGTAAGACAGTGAACGAAACGCACCATTGACCGGTCTCGTGTTAATAGCCTCGGCGTCCGTCCCTGGCGTCGGTACCGCGACCAACTCTTCGGCCTGTTACGAATACATCAATAGAACCAAAGGGTAAGTCTATGTTCTTTGTACAAACAACAATAATGAGTAAAACCAGTTAATTTCATAATTTATGCACAATCGATAGTAGCTATTTTTCGCTAATTTATTTACAAACAAAAATTGCATTTTTCTTTTATCTCCTTAATTCTTAATTCTTTATAATTATTTATCTAATATCATTTAACCAGCGACCTCTTAAGTTTATTCTAAACACAATTAATATGAATTTTTGATGGCACTAAGTGCACACCGTTAAAAATTGAAAAGTTTAAGGCATATCTGATGATATTAATTGCTAGCCGCCACAACACAACACAACACAATCCAACAAGTTGACAGCGATAACGACGCAGAAAAGGAACCAACAAATTCAACAGGTGGGGAAAGATGACAGATGTCTTGAAATTTTAAAATTGGTAGTGTATACTATACTAGAAAAATGGTAACACGTAGTCGGTCCAGATTTTAATAAACAATATGGGGGTTATTATTAGGGGTTATTATTCTGTGTTCTGTAAACAAATTAGGGGTTATTATTCTGTGTTCTATAAACATTCTATATAATCAATCGAGTGATTTTGTGAAATGCAATGTATGTGAAATCCTTGCTATCTGATATAAGATGTCGAACCTCATCTCAGGTGTAAAAAGTTTACAGAAATTTGATGTGATACAAAGTAAATTATGGGTGACAATCAAAAACAAATGCTGTGATGATAGCTGTGATGAGAAAGCCAACCTGGCAAATAAGGATAAGATGATCTCATTAATGGCTAAGAGACCCTAACCATTATGAAAAAATGGATCGGAAAAAGCACCACCTACTCTATCAAATTGTCAAAACAACATGTATAATAGTTATTTATTATGTTATGTAAGAGAATGATAAATTTCTCGGAGATAGTCAATATCATTACGCTTATTCATAAATGCAGGTTGTTTAAGATTGTGACACATCTCAAGGAAAGTTTTTTTTAAATAATTATTTTCAGTGGCTAAAATTTATGTTTTCTCAAAATCAGCCCGGTGGTTTGTTGACAAAACGTGTGTGGATAAAGCACGCATGTATTTAGAACAATTGATATCACTTCGATGTGAAATGGGGCGTCGTTTTAAGAAACGACCAGTTTGGCCAATATAAGACAAATTACAACTGCGACAAGGAACTCTATAGACTACTTTTGTTTTTCTTGTTTAGAGTTAGAGGAGTCTTAGGGTTAAAATATAATTTTCCTATTGACCTAACATTCTGTATTCCAATCCTGACAGGCACAATCCGAAGAAACCTCGAAATGTTGTAAGTAAATTGTGGAAAAAATTGTAAGGAGCAGTAAATTTTAGTGGTCGTGGGAGAATTCTGAGAGATAGCTCCTGGTGGATTATTTGAATTTAATAATAAAGCATTCTGCAGCTGATTCTCCAGCTTCATCCAAAGTTGGTAAGTGTCTCTGGTATGAAACAGTAAATAAATATTTATTTATGAGACATAGAGGCTATGAATTCTCAAAGAGAATATCCTTTGGCATTAAGAGGGAATCCATTCTGTAAAGAGTTTGTGTCAGCATGTGAACTCTAAAACTAAGACATTGGAGTAGGTTGTTTGAAATTCGTGCGATGGCATGAGTAGTAATTCAAAAAACGATTACTGGTCATATCTTGTCTATACCAGGAGGAGTATTTTTCATGGTATATATGTTTAATGATATGATATATCATTAAACACTAATATCTTTATCAAAGCTGACATAGATATAACCTCTTCTGATTCCCATCGCCCACTGTTGATCTTCTTCGAGTATTGACAGATTGACACTATGTGTAGCCGTCGCTGTCTACCTGAAGTTGTTAATTCGTCTCAATTGGTATTGCAATTTTCGGCGTATCTGGGCATAATTTTGTGGCTTATTGTGAGATTGTATGTTCTGCAACGGATCTTGTCCCAATATACACTAAAACGACTATTACAGGAAATACGGAGAATTCATGGAGTAGACAAGATCCCGTTAGAGCTTTGGTTGATCTCAAACTTCTTGTGTCGCCATCGTTATCGTTGGTTTATAGAAGTACTTAAAGTCATGTTTATCTAAGACTTATACTTAATATACTTAATACTTAATATACTTTTTGTTCTCGTTGTTAATCAATATTGCGATTTACTCTTATATCTACTGTTTATGTGTCTGATGTGTCTAAGGAGGGCATAATCGTTCTGTCAGACGAAAACCTGTTCTTGTGATAATCGACACTTTGGAAAGAAAAATTTCCATGTCATGTCCCAAAACATCAAGTAAAAAGTACCATCACACAATACTGGCTGCGAAGCCTACATTCTTTCTTCATGTCAGCTTACTAAAAAATGAAGTTTTCTATTGTCAGTTTTTAAGTCTGTAGATTTTTAACTTTCTTTTTACTGTTTATAATAAATTTTAATTAGAGTTAAATAAATTAATTTAATTAATTTAAATTTTGTTTCTAATTGTTTTCAAAGAACTATTGTCTAGAACTGTTCCAAAATCGCTAGATGCCACACCTTTACCCTCAGCCAAGAAAACTTGTTGCTAATAAAATTTACGTGTTCAAAAGTTTTAATGGTTTTGGGTAATAAAGATGTTTGAGGCAATGGGTGAGTGTACTTTGAGAATTGTTAGAGTAAGACGGGATTGATTCGGGGCCGTGCTCAATTTTCTACTTCGCAGCTCTTGGTGAATACGCTATTTTTTGTATATCAAGTAAGGACCAATTTGCATATATGTACATACTTTGGAATAAACATTATTGGTGTTTGGTAATATGTCTAGACGTATAATCGTTGGTGTACAAATAAAGAGGAGTCGAAGTTAAAGTAATTAAAGAATATAAGGGTATTTTCAGCTATATATACGCAGTATAGATAACTGCTTATAGATATATGTAGTTGTTTGAAAAATAGATTCATTTGCAATGTAAAACCCTTGATATGATCTTAAATAGTATGGATTAATTGATTTCTTTCCAATTGATTGATCAAAGGGCAAAGTACAAAAGCCGTATATTTATTATCTTTTAAATCTTCACACTCGTCCATTGCTTTTTCTTTCGCCAAAGAGATTAGTTTGTCTTTTAGACCCCGATGTCATTTAAAAATACGTCCTGCAGTGAGCTACCTTACTTTAGTGTATTGCGGTACATCAGAATATTCAGTCCAATTCAGTGCATTCAAAAAATTCTCGAAATTGTATATGCTTACAGGTTAGTAAACGAATGCTATTAACAAGTTAATAACAACCCGAGGACATGTTTCATGATTTATGACACAACGGAGAAACACAAGTTCGTTTTTAGTAAATTTCTTAAATATGCCTACAAAACCAGATTTCGTCCCTATCATAATCGGTGCTTCATCAGTAGCAATGTTAACATTGGTCAAAGGTACTTTCAAACACGCGACAGTTTCTTGAAAAATGTCTCATCCTTTAATCAACACTTCTTCTTCTTCTTGTGCCATATCAAAATTATCGGACGTTATCGATCACCATTGCGAAGGCTTATCGATCTTCTGCAATATGAAATAATTGTTCCGCATTTAATATAGGATTCCTTTCACAAATGTTCCTCAACCAAGAAACTCGTTTCCTTCTTACACCTCTACGGCCCTCTATTTTGCTTTTAAGGATCAGTTGTAATATTTTATATCGACTTTCCCGTACTGTCCCTATATGTCCCAGATAAGACATTTTTCGATGTTTAACAGTCTTTAGCAGTTACCTATCTTTGTTGACGCTCCTTAGTACTTCCTCATTAGTTTTCCTTGCTGGCCAAGGTATCTGCAGCATTCGTCTATGAACCCACATTTCCAATGCTTCAATTTTGTTCATGATCGATACTTTTAGCGTCCACACTTGTACTATGCAAAAGTACGAACCAAACATAGCACTTAACCATTCTTTGTATTAGTTCTAAACTGAGATGATTATTGCAAAGAAATGACTTTATTTTCATAAAAGTAGTTTTAGTCATTGCTATTCTACGTTTTATTTCTGGATCTAGTGGGTCAGTTATCACAGCTCCGAAATATGTCATTTTGTGAACTTTCTCAACTTGGACTCCGTTTAATTGAAGCTTTGCATCGGAATGTGGGTTACGACTAAGCACTAAAAAATTGGTTTTGTTAAGTTTATTTTAATGCCCATTTCCTCTGCTACCTCGTGAATACGATCAAGCAGAATTTGGAGACCTTCAATATTTTCTGACAGAATTACTGTATCGTCTGCATATCTAATCACATTAAGTAGTTTCCCGTTGATTTTTATTTCATACGGTTGTCTCTCAAGTGTCTTTTTAAATAACTTGTCCGAGTAAACATTGAACAATGTTGGCGACAAAACGCAACCTTGTCTGATTCCTCGTTGTATGGAGATTTCATCGTTGTAGTTATCTAAAATTTTTAAGATAGCAGTTTGATTCCAGTACAAATTTTTAATGACACAAATATCCTTGACATCTATTCCGATATTTTTCAGTATTTGCATTAATTTTACATGCTGTATTTTATCGAATGCTTTTCAAAGTCCACGAAATATTGAAATACATCTTTTTTTTTGGTCATGGCATTTTTGTAATAGTATGTTATGCGCAAAAAGTGCGTTTCTGGTTCCCATAGCATTTCTAAAACCAAATTGGGTATCTTCGGGATCTTCTTCGCATTTGCGTCTAATTCTGTTATGAAGTATTCTTAGAAAAATTTTAAGAGGATGGCTTATGAGGCTAATTAATCGATATTCTGAGCATTTTCTTGCATTGTGTTTTTTAGGTATTTAAATTACTGAACATTAATAAACACATACAAACCAATTCTTCAGTAACACAAAAGTTGTTCCCCATACCTCAATTCCAGAAGTAATTGTTTTTCGAGACAACCTTGCTATCTCAAAATCTTTTTTTTTGTTAGGACACAAAATGCCACATATTGCAAGTTCGCCATCGGATAAGGTTTACTGTTTGTATGCTTCAACCTTATGCTTATACTGCCCTGACAGTGTTTACGTAGAACTCCTGCGTTTTTGCTTTCTTTCCTGTTCGGTCATAGTTTTAGTGGCGGTATTGTGTTTTGTCATGAAATGTCATTAGAGGATAAATTCCTTTGAGACGGCTACAGTTTATTTTGAATAAAGATACAGTTTGATAGACATATATGTTTATCCTTAATAATTGTCAAAAAGGAATTCCAAGTCAAACACTTTTTAAAAGTACGACATTTCGAATCAACTTCGTTTTTTACTTGTTATTGCAACGATCAAAAATGTCAAAAGACACTAGAAATGAAGGAAAACTATAGAAACACAAGCCAGACACATAGCCACCGAGGTGACTTAATATTGACTATATACCTGTTGAAACTGATCACACCTTGAGAACAAACGTAAAGTTGGTAGCACTGCACTCGTTCCGGACTTGACGAGCAACATACATATTAGATTCCACATCGCCGTACTACCGATCTACACACATGTACTACGAGACTACCCATACCCGAGGTTGGTAAAGAATTTTGGTCTGTTAGTCAGTTGGTCACGTAATTTTTAGAAGATTCATGGAATAGACAATAATAACTTTTAAGGACGTTTCTTAATGTTAACTTAACGGAGTTGCATGTTATAGAAGATAATCGGCTTCCAGCCATTATTTAAATATGATTTTTTTAAAATGTGTGAAATTATGTAGATATAAATATATTAAACAAATTTAATTATTTTTCTTAGGTGCATTCAAATTCCGCTTTGATAAAAAATGTATAGTAAGTAATTTACTTTATAAAATACGATTCTTTGAGAGTACACATAAGAAACTTTGAAATACACTTTTTTATGTAGTCGTGGTAATTACTTAATTTTAAATACTTTATAAAACATGATAAAAACGTCAAATGAAGTAGTCTTCAATTATTCTCTAACATTTCTGTGACTTACAAAAGACGTAACTCCAACAAAACTATACTAATCCTTGCATTAACGTTCCATTGTTATTTTAATTGAAACTTCAGGTTATTAAAGTTGAGTTTAACTTAATTTTCGTATTGTGCAATTGACCCTTTTACCATAAGGGCTTTTAATTTAGCTTCTCTCTAGGCTTTGATGCAATCAAACTATATTGCTTATGAGTTGTTTAGGTCGCGCCCTTTCCAGCGTCTCACCAGTAAAGGGCAACGGGGTATTCGTGATCTAGAAGTATTTGAAAAAGGCAAATAAAGTTTAAATACGATTTCTTGTAAAATGCAAATTAGAGAATTAATTCCTAGAATTCATATTATATTTTTAAAAATAACATTATAGTTCTATTCAAAGTTTCGCAACACGTTCATGCAAATTGTGTATATTTAGATTTAATTTTCGTGTGAATATTTGTCCAACGTTTAATAGCCGTAAATTTCTATTTAATATTCGTTTTGTTTGTACATATTTCATAAAAGTATCCGTTTTTTACCTACCTCACTAGGAAATTAATAATTGTGAGAATAGCCGTTTTATGAGTTGGAAATAATTTCTCTAAGTGTGCATTATCATCATTTGAACGAAATCGATTTGTATATTTGTGGAGTGTCGACAAGTAACAAGGGTTCAAGGTGTCAGTGTAATTATAAGTTCTAATTCTTTCTAATTGCCTGTACAGATTCTTCTCGATCGACGATGATAAAATAAAATGCTGAACAGTAAAATATAGTTTTAATGACAGCTACTGAATTATTACACTGTAATTGCTGTAAAAATTTATAATATATTGCGTCCCAAACTAGCCTCGAAGCTATACTTATAATCTCACTAAAATGCTACGATTAATCAAATAAGTGTATTGCCCTCTGCATAAAATACAAACCTTTGATTTTTGAAAGCTGGCAAATATAATTTGAACCGAGGAATTGATTACAGGGATTTCCTCAGTAAATATTAGGCAATATATAGTTTGCAGGAACTTGAACAAACTGTAATTAACCTACTAATCAATATGTTTCACAATTATACACGGTGAAACTATACAAATTCAGGAAATTAAAATTAATGTGAGATTACAAATTAATGGACTAATTTGTGATAGACACCCGCATTACACAGCTCGTGGAAAGACGTTTTTCGCTGTTCAGCGAAGATATATACAGTCAAAAGAAGAGAGATTAAGGTTGGCACCCCATGTTATAAATTTTTTAATAAATATTTACTTTTTGATAACTACCTTGTGTCCCGTCGAGATCAGGGTCAGAGTAGTTTTGTCTACCAGTGTTGCCGGTAAAAATTTTAGTAACTTCTATTATTTATACAATATTAAAAATGTAGCACAACTTACTTCATCACTTCATAGTAAAATTACCACGACACTGACCGTGCCGGTCCCTAGTCATGTCGGAAGGTTTGATGGGGTAAATACTACTACTATAAATCAGCTTGCAAATTCCTTTGAACCGTGTTCATTTATAGACAAACAACGAAAGTGAAAGCGCTGACCATCAATAGACAGTTTTGTTCTATCCGAGGGATCGTAAATCACAAATATTATGGCTAAAAGCGATATTTTCCATGATGTGTTTCGAAGTT